GACCTGCAGCATTCTCCAGGCAGTGCATGATGGATCCACATACACTCCCTTGGGGAGCGCATGATGAACCTCCACACATTCCCCTGGGCAGTGCACGATGGACTTCCACACATCCCCAGGCGGTGCATGATGGAGCATTTCAGGATTGGCAGGGAAGCCTCTCCTTAACTGAGCCATCCAGGTTGATTCAACAGTGAAAGTGTCTTGGCGGGAAACCTGCCCAAAACTTCTCTTTGTAGGTGTCTTGTAGTTATAAAATATACATCCTGTGAGGAAGAAACCTGAATGTGTTTTATATTAGGGTGATTCATGGCCTTTTGCTCGTTCATGGTTGATTTCGAGCCATTTCAGATTCCACCCCCTGCATTTTCTAACCTTGTCTTATTTTCCTTTCCTTAGACCACCGCTTGCCCTCACCTGCTCAGGACAGAAGATGGTAACCATGCTTAGCTTATAAAAACTCCTGCTTGCATCTTAATAGTAAGTGCATTAGAGGCGTTTCAGAACTGGAACTGATTAGACTCTGGTTTCCGGTGCTGCTAAATCTGACTCTAATCCTCCACAGGATTATTTGGGGAGAAAAGCCTAGAGGTTTCAGAGCAATTAAAAATAAATGTCAGCTTTCTTCTAGCCTTCTCCCAGAAATCCAGGCTTTTTTGCTCCTTCCATTTGGGAAATCTCTTGAGTCCATAATATAGAACTTTTCCATGGTCCTTTTAATACAGTGGTGGGATTCAATTTTTTTTTTTTACTACCAGTTCTCTAGGCATGGCTTGGTAGGCGTGGCAGGGGAAGGATATACGGCAACATCCCCCTTCCCTCCCCCACCCCGCTAACCTGCTTTCCAGCTCCGTTCTCCTGTGCAGGGCAACCAAAGAAGACCCAGCCGATCAGCTGGGACTCAGTGGGAGGCAGAAAATAGATGGGGGACGGGCCCAGTCAAAGGTGGGATTTCCCTGTTCTCCAAACTACTCCAAATTTCCACTACCGGTTCTCCAGCACTGGTCAGAAGCTGCTGAATACCACCTCTGCCTTAATAGATTTAGGAAATTTGGCATTTGAGTGGGATTCAAACAGGTTGTAGAAAATACAGTGATTAGCATTCTGCCAGAACCAGGCCTTCACAGTAGCGGGAAATATGGTTGTTTGTTTACCTGTAGCATTTATTAGAACAGTGGTTCTCTTTCCTTCACATAATCCATGCATTTTTTCCCCCTTCTAGCACAATGTCCCTGCTGTTCATTCGCTCTAAGTCCATCATCGCTAGCAAAAAGGACAAGAGACATATGGCGGACGTCAGTGCCTCCCCCCTTAAGCATTTTGTCACCGCCAAGAAAAAAATAAATGGCATCTTTGAACAGCTGGCGGCTTACATCCAGGAGAGCTCCGTGTTTCTGGAGGGTGAGTTGGCCTTAAGTTTCACAGAGTTTGCTGACTTGTGCACACGAGGTGAGTGAAGGCCCGCAGGTCAAGAAGACCAGAAGCGTGTCTTTTTAAACCAGGGGCCTTCAAACTTGACAGCTTTAAGACTTGTGGACTTCAACTCCCAGAATTCCTCCTCCTCCAGTCACGTTAGCTCAGGAATTCTGCGGGGTTGAAATCCACAAGTCTTAAAGCTGTCAAGTTTGAAGACCCTTGTTTTAAACAAATTATTTTGCGACCTGAGGTTAGGATTTGAATCCGGGGCCTTCTGCACTTCTATTTTCTTTGTTTCTGACTTTTTGTTCTGTTCTTTTGTGTTGGGTTTTTCTTAAATTTGATGGCTCTTGTTGGTTAGCTTTAATTCTGTTTTTAAAATTGGCTGCCATTTGTTTTCATTTATTTTTGTCAATTGCTTGCAAGATAATAGGTATAACTAAAAACATACTTATGAATACATGGATACTTTTAAAATTGGCTGCCATATTTATTTATTTATTTTATTTGTCTTTGTTAATTGCTTACAAGATAAGTATAAGTAAAAACTTAGTTATGAATACATGGATGCATATAAGAAAAATAAATAAAAGAAACAATAGGACAGGGACGGTAGGTTTATTTTCTTGCTTATGTTATGCTGCCTGCTCTAAGGATGCAGGTATAAGTGAGGGGTCTTTGGAGCTCTCTGAGGCTTCCTTGTTTCCTTCCAAATGTTTCGTTAGCCTAATTAGGTAGCATCCTCAGTACTAGCATTAGGATGCACCACGACAAATTCCTTGTGTGTCTAATCAGAATTCATTCATCTTCCCTAGTTAGCATCATGAAACATCTGCAATAAAACGAGCAAGCTCAGAGAGCACCAAGGAGCCCCTTATTTCAACCCTGAGCTACAGATATTCGCCTTTATTGGCAGCAAACACAAGTCCCTGCCCCAAGGGGCTTACCATCTCAAACTGGGCTGTGAGGGAACAAACCACAGAAGGAAGGAAAGAGTTGAATCTGTTATCCGTATTCCTCAAGTTCTACCTTTCTTTCCTAAATTTAGTTTGGGTCTCCTACCTCCAGTCTTGCCATCCTACATACTGGTGTGCTAAGCCAGCTGGATTTCGGTCAAGGTTTTCCTGCATGGTTTGAATGTGGCAACTTTAACCAACCGAGCCAATGCAGAGGGGTGCTGGGATTTGTAGTTCTGAAGCAGGCGGAGGGTTTTGCCCATTCTTCTTTCAGCTTGGCGTCTTTTTTTTCCCCTGGGGAAAAGCCTCAAGAAAGTCCTTTTTCTGTATTGCTGTCTGGAAGTAGGGATTGCGGTGTTCAAACCACTCACCTCCCACGTGACATGTACTGTTTTTTTCCAGAAACGCACAAGAATGGGGAGCTTGACCCGGTCACCACGGAAGAGCAGGTGTCAGAGGTCAAGGGCTACCTGTCCAAGGTCAGCGGGATCAGCGAGGTGCTGGCAAGGCGACACATGAAGGTGGCTTTCTTTGGGCGGTGAGTCAGTTGCTGGTATTTGGAGATCTTTGCTTGAATCGGAGGCTCTCCAAGTGGGTTGGACTACACGGACCCATCATTCTGAGTCCACTCTGCAGGGCTACCTGGAAAGTTTCCAGCTTAAGTTGTCCATGTTTAAACTGGAACGCTGAGTGTGTTTTGGTTCCCTGGAGTTCAGCAACCCTGTGAGGTTCTTGGGAAGTCCCTGCATCCAGATATCGGCTACCTTGCAGGGTTGTTGTGAGGATAAAATGGGAGGAAGTGTCTCTCTCTTGTGTTTTGCGATCTTTAGGACAAGTAATGGGAAAAGTACTGTGATTAACGCCATGCTGTGGGATAAAGTCCTTCCCTCTGGGATCGGCCACACCACAAACTGCTTCCTGAGAGTGGAGGGGACGGACGGCCAGGATGCCTTCCTGCTCACCGAAGGGTCTGAGGAGAAGAAGAGCGTCAAGGTACAATGTGGGAATGACCCCAAAATTGAGGATCGAATAAACTTGGAGTGTCTTGGAATTGTGAGTCTCAGAGTCGGCTAGTTTTCAGGATTCCGGCAGTTACCCCCCATTTAAATCATGAACCTTGAGCCAAACTTCCAAAGGATTTATTGGGAGTTAACATGTCCGGCACTGCCTGGGTGTAGCCGACTCTGAGACACATCATTCATGGTCACCCTTGACCCTGGCATTCCCCCACCCCCTGGGTATATCACAATTCATATCCTCCAATGGGACACATCCATAGCCCAGAGTCGTCAATCATGCTCTCCAGTTAGAATTTTGTGCAGCAGAAACTTCAGTCACCTTTGAAAAACTATTTATGGAATGCACTTTCAATTTCCAAGATGCTGCACTGCTCCCCCCTCCCTTTTTTGTTGGCAACTCTAAAAAGACCCTAGAAATATTTTATGAGTTGACGTTCTATTCTAAAGCTGCCGGAGGGTGTTGGTTGACATAATCAGCAAGACTTTTAAGACTTGTGAACTTCAACTCCCAGAATTCAAGGTGCCGTGGTTGGGGAGTCCTGGGATAAATGGTGGTCTGGGGGCCCATCACTTCAAAAGTAGTTTTATCCAACCATCCCCTCCCTCCTCCAATGGATTATTATTAAATTCTTGGATTTTCGAAACCCCTTTGTAATCATATTCTCGGACCATCTCTTCCTTTCTTTTCCTGCCTCAGACGGTCAACCAGCTGGCTCACGCCCTCCACCAGGATGAATTGCTAACCGCCGGGGGTTTGGTCAGCGTCATGTGGCCGAATTCCAAGTGCCCTTTGCTCAAGGATGATCTGGTTTTGATGGACAGGTGAGCGGCTGCTTTGCCCCCACCCACCAATAGAAATGTTTCCCTCTCTTACACCCAGCCAGGAAAATTGGAAGCTCTTATAAAGCTTTCTTAAACTGTAGCTGTTGTGCCTTTATCGCGTGAATAAATATGAGATGGGTCGGCTTTTACTGGGGTGTATTAAAAAAGTGGAAGGAGGTGTTTTTAAAAAATTAATCCAGCATAGCCCTTTTGATCCAATCTTTTAGAACGGGAAAGTTTAAGATTATAAACTCATACCGGTTTGGGGTGGTGTTGGAAGAGGGAACATCATTTCCAGAGGTGGGCTGCTGGCAGGTTCGGTCTGGTTCGCCCGAACCCCTTGTTCCGATTCTGCGCAGTTCAGAGAACCAGCAAATCAGACTACCGGCTGACCCTGCCCCCGCCTGGGTTTTTTGGGCCATTTTCAGCTGTTTTGGGGGAAAAAACAGTCCGAAAACAGGCTGTTTTTCGAACTGTTTTCAGGCCGCTTTTCAAGCTGTTTTGGGGGACATTTTTGGACCGTTTTCAGGCTGTTTTTCAGGCTGTTTTGGGGCTGTTTTTCAGGCTGATTTTGGCCAGAAAAACGGGCTGAAAAATGGGCAGGGGCAGAGCCATCCAATGGTGGGATTAGCCCCAACTGGATGAATCCTGCCTGGTCCTTTGAGGCGAGTGACCAGGAGGCGGGGGCCACCCCGACCCAGCCAGAGTTGTTTAAAAATTTGCAGCCCACCACTGATCATTTCAGTGTGTAAATTGTGTCAGTTCTTACAGGGAGTCCTCGATTTACGACCACAATGGAGCCCAAAATTTGTGCCCTTCAGTGAGTTTTGCTCCCCTTTTACGACCTTCCTTGCCTGCACCTGTTAAGTGAATCGCTGCAGTAACCCGGTTGTTAAGTGAATTCGGCTTGCTCCTTGACTTTCCTTGTCCGAAGGTCGCAAAGGGGGATCCCCTGAAACACTGCAACCGTCATAAATATGAGTCACTTGCCAAGCGTCTGAATGTTGATCATGGACCCAGGGACTGCTGGGACGGCCATGTGAAAAGCAGTCAAAAGTCCCTTTTCTCAGTGCTCTCGTCCCTTCAAATGGTCACCAAATAAACCACTGTAAGTCGAAGAGTATCTCTATTTTAAAACTATGTAAGGTCCCAGAAGTTTCCCTAAGCCACGGAGATGCCAAAGAGTGAGGCTCGAGGCTTGCAAAAACAACAGCTTTTTTTATTCTTTGGCCAAAGCAAAAAGTACCATGTCCAAAAATGCACGTAAGGAATAGCCAAACCCTGCGAGCGTGGCTCAGAGTATTAGATGCGGATAGAAACGGATTTTATCCAATCAGAGACAAACGTTCGTTCTTCATGTGCCCTCCCCTTCCTTGTCCATGGAGTGTCCTTTGTCCCTGCTCTGTCCATACTTGGTTGTTTCACACAGTATCCCTTGTCCTTGTGTGTTTGTGCTCCTGGGAAGCCCCCCCCCCCCCCCCTTAATCTATGGAGCAGGATGTTTCTGGGAATTGTCTCTAAGGATCTGTCTAGCACCGAAGCAAATTGCAGAGGCGAGAAACCAGATAGCTCTTTGAACTATTACCATCGAGAAGGAGATTCAGGGTATTAAGAACAAGGACGACTAGATTTAAGAACAGTTTTTATCCAAGTGCAGTTTTGAGTTTGAATGCAGGGTCATAAGATTTTGTGGAATTTAATGGCTGAGAGTAATGGGGTATTTACATTTTTAAATTGTATAGAGATTATTGTATGGTCTGTTGTGTCTAGTTTTATTTTTCTTTCAATGGTGTTGTCCAGTTTTACTTGTGGAAGAGCACCTCATTTCGTTGCACCCGCTTGCGAGTGTAATGACAAATAAATTCTTATGTCTTAAAAGGATACCATTCTCTTAACAGAATGAATCCCTAGCCAAATGATTTCCATCCTTTGTCAAACAGTACAAGCAACTTCTTTAACAGGTACAAAGAGCAAAGGTCAAGACTGATTCCTGTCCAAATGTCCTTTCAACCAAAATCAAAACTTAAAGCTCCCACAGGACGGGGGAGGTGTTGGACGAGAGAACTCCATTTCGGCGTGTCGGTTACGGCATCCTTCCTCTTGTTTCTCGTTATATGTTTAGCCCCGGGATCGATGTCACCACCGAGCTGGATAGCTGGATTGATAAGTTCTGCTTGGATGCAGATGTCTTCGTGTTGGTGGCCAACTCTGAGTCGACGCTGATGCAGACGGTAAAAACCTTTCATTCCCCGCTTCTCTGGCTTCGCTTTTCGTGAAATGTTTGCAAGAATCACACAAGTTCCAGGAGGCTCTGGGGGTCGCCATCGAGGCTCCCGAAAGGCACGAAAAGGTTGGATTTTGCATGCTGGTGAATGAAAGAAGCGGAGTGGAGTTTGCTTGTTTTTCTGTCTTTTCTCATCACTCCTCCTCAAAAAGTTACTTTGCAACTCCTGTTTTTAAAAATTCAAAGGTCTCCATCGACCCCACACTCCTTCTGCTCGAGAAACCTGGGTGGGGCTCAAAAGGGGCAGAAATTTTGAGTTTTTGAATAAGTGACCCCTTTGAACAGGTGATTCCTGTTTTTAGCCAGTTGTGTGCAGCGGCAGCCAATCAAGCTAATCCAATCCTTGGGTGTATAAACAGAGGCAGAGAATCCAAATCACGTGAAGTGTTAGGGCTGCTTTATACATCCTAAGTAAGGCCATGCCTGGAGTACTGCATCCATTTTTGGTCACCCCATTACAAAAAAGATGTTGAGGCTTTGGAAAAAGCGCAAATAAGAGCAACTAAGGTGATTAAAGGCTGGAGACCAGGGGTGGGATTCTACCAGTTCGCACCTATTCGCTAGAACCGGTTGTTAACCTTCTAAGCAGTTTGGAGAACTGGTTGTTAGAAGAAATTGCAGGGCTAATCCTGTAAGGAAGGCAGGAAGGAAACATTCTGGTGTTGCTTAGAGAAACTGCCTCTCCGTTAACCTTTATTACATTCTTGGCAGGACTAGACTTCCTGTCTCAAGAACTTCTCTGGAGTTTTTTCCCCTCCTTTGCTGGTACGTGTGTGGAGCGACCATTCAAAGTTACAATGGCACTGAAAAAAGTGACTTATGACCCTTTTTCACACAACTGTTGTAACATCCCCACAGTCATGAGAGGCCAGGCGAGGAGATGCGTGCCTCGATACGATGCTGAGTTGGCCACGCCCAGCCAGTCACATGACCACCTAAGCCTCGCCCACCACCTAAGCCACGCCCACAGAACCAGTTGTTAAAATTTTTGAATCCCACCCTTGCTGGGGACTAAAATATAGGAAGAACCATTTGCAGGATTTGAGTATGGCCAGTCTAGAGAAAAGGAGGACTAGGGGAAACAAGATAGCAGGATTCCTATATTTGATTCCTGTACTCCTGCCCCAAAGAAGAGTGAGGTCAACTTATTCTCCCAAGCAGGCAAGACAAAAAAGGCAATGGATTTGAACTAAGGAGAGAAGCGACCTGGAATTAAGGAGAAACTTCCTGAGGACAATGAACCAGTGGAACAGCTTGCCACCAGAAATTATGGGTGCTCCGTTACTCAAGTTTTTTTTAAGAAGAGACTGGTCTGAAATGGTATAGGGTCTCCTGACCAAGCAAGGGGTTGGTCTAGAAGACCTCCAAGGTCCCTTCCATTTCTATCCCCCTTCTGATTTTTTTTTAAAGGCTAATTTTATGAACCTCGTGTTCATAGAAGGCTTTTTTGTTGTTCTTGTTTCTTTTCTGCCGACCCAGGAGAAGCAGTTCTTCCACAAAGTCAACGCTCGCCTCTCTCGGCCGAACATTTTCATTTTAAATAACCGCTGGGACGCTTCGGCCTCCGAACCCGAATACATGGAGGAGGTGAGGCTTCCTGGGCTGTGGCCGGGAAGCGGAGAGCAAGCCCGGAAGGGAGATCCGGTCTCCCTTATCTAACTTGACCTCTTTCGTTGCTCTCCTCTTCCCCTCCCAGGTTCGCCGGCAGCACATGGAACGTTGCACCAGCTTCCTGGTGGACGAGCTGGGGGTGATGGATCGGGGCCAGGCTGGCGATCGCATCTTTTTTGTCTCTGCGAAAGAGGTCCTGAACGCCCGCATCCAGAAGGCTCAGGGTATGCCCGAAGGAGGTGAGAGACCCTCTTAGACCAGTGCTTCTCAACCGTGGCAACTTTTAAGACTTGTGGACTGCAACTCCCAGCATTCCCCAGCCAGCTATGCTGGCTGGG